TATAATATTATAAAGACTGGTAGCGCATTTATAAGTAATCCGTATTATCAAGATTATATTGTCGTAAATTTCAGTCGAGAAACTTCATTCCTCTCCTTTCAGTCGAGCAACATTTTTATAAGTATTCCTATTACAAGAGTTGGATATAAAATGACATCGTTTTGTTTCTGCATTTTTATGTGTTTTTGTTTTTGTTTTTGTTTTGTGGAGAGCAGACTGAGTGTTGGAAAAACTCGCGTCCTATCCAACCCATCGATTGCAAAAGAGGGGTAAACCCCGTGGACAAGACCTTGGTCTATCGGTACTACTGTTGGTATTCAACCTGGAGGCCTCTGTTTCGAATCTCTTAAGTAACATGCAGTAATAAAAATAAACTAATTTCACTCTCATAAACAGAAGGTGAAACCCACACCCGACCTTAAAAATCATGAACATTAAATTCCGTCCAATTTAACCAAATCGAATTGTAAGAGAGAAAATTTTAACAAATATTTTCCCAACAACTCGAATTATTGGAAATAAGTTTGTTTGTTCCTTAACATGGTGTTATAGTCTTATGAAGACCTACAATTTAAACAATTGTTTAGCATAATGAATGATATGATCAATCTCTGCAAACTGAATGTCTAATGGTTTAGCATCACAAGAGATGGTATGTTTAACATGTGCACACTACAAAAATCCCAAAAAAATTGGTAGGCTTTCATTTAAGGGAAAGTGTAAGAAATAAAAACTTAATAAATATTTTTCTAACAACCCAAATTACTGGATAAAATGATTTCTTCGAATCCGAGTTATTAATTGTCTATCTTTAATCACATCCTTTTCTAGGCCAAAAACCGAAAGGAGTGGAGTGGGTTCCACAAGGGTTTTATCCAGCTGTGCGTGGCGAAGAAGAAAAAAACGATCGTCTGGAAAGCTCTGTTTTCTCCCATGGCGACAGGCAATTATTCATTTTGTGCTAAAGTTTCAACTTAATTAGCTTGATGGAAGGATACGGAGGACCCAGGGATCAGTTAGCGTGACTACCCCTAAAGGGGTAGTGATTTTTGACACCCCCTTTATGATTGGCCAATTTTATTTCCAATCATTGGCAAGTATAAATTAAACTGATTTTTTATTTTTTTTAATCTTGTAATTTGGAGTCTCTCACCACATTGGAAAAGAGAAAGAATCTGGGGAAAAACGAAATCACCCCCATTAATTACATAATTAATTTCTCTCACTGGTACATTAATTACACGTACCACTCCACTGGTACACGTACCACTCCACTGGTACACGTACCACTCCAATGGTACACGTACCACTCCACTGGTGCGAGCAATCCACAAGGTAGGTTAGAGTGAGAACAATACCAGTGCAATGATATTTTTCATAACAATGATAAACAATAATAGGGAAAAAATAGGAACTTTCCATTAGTAGCCAAAAACTGTGTTCCAAAATGGGTTGCAAAATTAGGGAAATGCCAACAACAATGCCAAAAGCAATAAATTATCCTTCGAATGTGAATAAACATAAAGTCTTCACAATTTTTTAAGCCTAAACAGGACATATGGTTACACGTACCACTCCACTGGTACACGTACCACTCCACTGGTACATGTACCAGTGGAGTGGTACGTGTACCAGTGGAGTGGTACGTGTAATTAATGTACCAGTGAGAGAAATTAATTATGTAATTAATGGGGGTGATTTCGTTTTTCCCCAGATCCTTCCCCATTCATAATTACCAACGTTTTTCTCCTTCCCCATTCATAATTATTATCACAATTAAGGCTTTCCCAATTTACAAGATTACAATAAATAAAGTAAAAAGCTTAAATGGAAAAGTGACCAATCAAGAGGAGGGTGTCAAAAACCACTACCCCTTTAGGGGTTAGCATAGTATCCGACCCCGAGGACCCATGACACGACATCTCCTTCATTCAGAAGAGGAATTTTATGAATGCTCACAAGTGACTTTAATTAGTACTCTCAGCTACAAGTTGGAATTTGTATCGATAACATTGAACGTATAGTTGTTTAGTTTCCGTTAAAAAAAGTTTTATACAAAAAGTTATATTACAAATTGTTCGGTGTGTATCATAAACAAATCTGTAAGAAAATACATTTGTATAAATTGAATTTGTATCATAATATTAAAGATACTGTTGGAGCTTGAATGACCCTACTTCCGTGCCACGTCACTCCACTCCGCACTCGAGCGCCTTTCCTGCACTACACCACACACACAGAGGTGGGCGTCTAGCTCGTAAGTCCTCCGACGCTCAAGTTAGTAAAATGTCTTTTAGAGAGAGAGAAGTAGTCCCTCCCGGTTTTCCAGTGTGACACTACAAAAAAATTTGGCTTTAGAGGGAGAGATTATTTGCTTCTAAATGACATTTATTTGCTTCTATATATCTATTGAGGCAGATACGTTATTTGCATCGGACGCCTCTCTCTCTAATTCCTTTTAGAGTCAAATATAGATGCAAATAATATAGGCTACTAATTATCAAATTGGAAGCAAATTTATTGCATTCGGATTCTATCTTTAAGAGCTTGTCTTTTACCTTCTTATTTACTTTTAGAGGCAATTACATTTGTTTGCAATGTTAACTTTTGATGCAACTATATTTGCTTCTAAAGTTCCTTATGGAGGCATGAATATTTGTCTCTAATGAATACATTTCCGAAGCAAATAATTTTTTTTTTTTACTATTTTTGCTTTTATTTGCAAATAAGATTTCTTTCTAATTGGCTCCATATAATAAAAAGTAAGCATATTTTGATTAAACGAATTAAAAATAAAAGATCAACGTTTACACGATTCTTAAAATACATGAAAGTTGAAGACATCAAACTAAATACATACATTTATTAAAAAAAAAAAAACTAAACACATTGATTTTCCACAATTTTCAATGCTTATTATATAGTTTGACAAGGAAAAATATCACTAAAAATTGTATCCTAACAGAGAAGGACTACCGAGCTCTTCTTCTCCCTTATCACTTTTCCATTGTTGCTGCTGCCCTTGCACCAAAAATGTTGATAATCACGTAACCCATGCCTTGGTTTCCAGAGCGCTGTATGCTAATGCCTGCGTGCCTTGAAAAAATTGCCTGAGATAGTTGAAATTGAACGCCCAAAAGACGGGATTAGAAACCCTAAACACCAATACAGGAAGAGTGACAATATTTTTATTTGATTTTACCCTAATACATACCGTTGTCATTGTCGATCTGCAGTATTATTGTGTTATGCCTTCCTTATAGGCTCCGTGGCTTTACCCTGGTCGACCCATTACAACGCCTCTGCCACCATTGTTATGCTTCTGCTACCGCATCGGCATGCGTATCCGTTGGTTGTTCATCGGCCTTCAATTTCCCACCACCCATACTAGACATCAGAAGCCTCTTCCATGGGATCCAATGTGGGAGCAGGGAAGAAGAACTAGTGAAGAGAGTATGAAGACCAAGGGACTCTCTCTCTCTCATTGTTTTAAAAACTAATCTATCTCTCTCTCTCTCTCTCTCTCGTTATTAGGAGGAGAGGCACCCAGCCTTAAAAACTAATAATCTAATATTAGGTATTGTTATTGAAAGCAACTTTTATTATTATGAAGGGTAAATAAGCGTGGCTTCACAGTTTCTCTTTTGGAAGAAGCAAAATTTTTGCATTTTGAATATTTTTATCCCGACCGTTTACCCTCTCTTTGTTTCAAATTTTTCATGTCCCGCTCAGATTCTCTCTCCCCCTTCATTTGTAGGGAATGCAAAGCATTACACGTAATTATTATATACATATATAAGTACATTTATTAAAGCCTGTAATACTAAATTTAAAATTATTTTATTGAAAAACGAAACAACTTTACAAGCAATTAGATTTCCCTCTATATATCATTTATAGTTTGAGTAACATACTATACAGTAGCAAATATTAAATTTGTCTCTAAAGCTTTTTATTTGAATTTATTTCTTATAAATTATTAAAAAAATTATGCAATAGAAGCAAATAATATGACATTAAATGTTACCTACCAGCACTATTTATACTTACACAACCTGGGACCATATATGCTCTTACAACTCTCTGCTCCACGTCAGCAAGCCATTAAATGCATCGTACTTTGTTTAGGCTAGGCGTCTCGACCAACTTGTAGGACTTCTGACAAGCCGTAGGCGCCTCCCTTCAGGGACCCCTGTCAATCTGTACTTCCTTGTTGCGTGTCAGAACCCCTTCAATCCTGTTTGGGTCCGGTCCACCGGGCTTCTCCAACAACTATCTTCTGCCCCTGAACATTATTTGGGCCCGTAGCCATTCCTGTGCTTGAACTTGGGCTTCCCTCCTAAGTCATACCCCCAACATATACAAATTCAGTTTGTACATAAATTTTATTTCCAAAATGAAAACACACCATAGCTTATATGTGCATAGTACCCGAGCTCTACTTACACATGTTTCAATTTTTTTTTTCTTCAACTTGTTATTCAAACTAAACCATGTTTGTATAGTATTGTGGACGGATACAAATATGGTGGCCGGAATTCATATATGACGCATCGAAAGTGGTAAATAGATTGGATTGAACCACTGAATTTATAAATTCAAAGTTACATTTACTTTTTGGACCATTTTTATTCAATAAATTAGGATTAGATGAACATATGGTAGATGAATTGCATGGTTAATTAAATTCAATTAACCCTTTAATTGTCACCTCCTCTATCTCCATGCAAACGAGATTGTAAATCATGAAGCAAAGTGGATAGATACACAATTGTCAAATAAGAAAAGAGAAAAAAAAATATATTGACGTATCTTTCCCCTTGCCTTCATGCCGCGTGGCATTTGCCAGTTGCCACCTCGCAGTACGGCCTCCACGTTTCCGTCCACGTGTAACCATTTACCCGCTTCCCCAAACCCCTTCAAATCTCACTTTCGCTCTTCAACTTTTACTCCACTTGTCAATTTTTGTTTAACTACCACCGCCGGGAGATTTTCCAAGCATGTCGTCGCACACTTCAGAATCCACGGCGCCGCTCTTCCCTTCGACCAAAGGCTCCGCCGCTACGGTGAGCGACATAGTTCTCTGGAGGCGCCCGATATCGAGCGCCCTCGTCGTTTCGGTGGCCACGGCGACCTGGGTTCTGTTCGAAGTCGTCACCGTCGTTTCGTGGGTCGGCTTGGCCGTCGTCACTTCCCTCTACCTCTACGGCCACCTCTATAGGATCTTCCGGAAGTACTGAAGTTTTTTTTTAGACAAAGCTAATTTCTTTTTTTTTTTCTTCCCCTCTTCATCATCTCGTCACCCTCTTTTGTAATTGAAGTTATGTTTTCGGATGTTTTAGGGAAGAGCCGGATCTGATGGACAGGCAGTTCCTGAGGGAGGAGAGAGTGGTGGAGGCGGCCAGATCGGCTGGATCGGCGGTCGAGCTCGTGCTTCAGTGCCTGGTCCGGATGAGCACGAACGGTGACTGGAGAGTGTTGGCTCATCTCGTCGCCGTGCTATGGTTTGTGGCATATGTGGGGAACATGGTGGATTTCCTTACGCTGGTTTATTCAGGTGGATCATTACGAATCGTCCCTTTTTTTTAAAATCGAATGTGTTTGTCGTAAACTAACTGGTCTCAATAACTCAATAACTCGAGTTGTTGTTATTGGGAGAAGGTTAATTATGGATCTTATATTGTTCTCTTGCCAGGGGCGGACCCACTTGCAAGAGTGGTTTGTCAATTGGCAGACCTTAAAATGCAAAATTTGGACATATTACTGGTGTAAAAATTTGATTTTAGTGATGGTAGTATATGGATTTGAAATTATTTGACAACTCTTAGAGATTTTGATTCATTCTTGAATACCCTTAGATGAAATTTCTGGGTCCGCCACTGTCTCTTGCACACGCCTCGCCTCCTTAAACATGTAAGTCTTATATCGCTCTCTTACACGTACGCGGTTCGTTTGAAAATTTCGTTTTGTCCGCGCGAGTAGGTGTTGTGATGGTGATGACGCTACCACTGGTGTACAAGAAGAACGAGGGGAGGATCCTGCAATCCGGGGTGGCGGCTCAGATGAAGGCCTTGGAGGTTCTCACGGTGGTGAACGAGACGGTGATTCGGAGAGTGAAGGGTAAGTTTGTGGCCGTGGCTTCCCCGAGAGACGACGAGGAGGATCGCCACGACAAAGAACAAGAACAGGAGGAGAAGGTGGAGTCGAGGGATGAGGATAAACACAACAACAAAGACCAGAAGGAGGAGAAGGCAGAGTAGCATATGCATGGATGATGTAGTGTTATATATTCTCTTTTAGCTAATAGGGTTTTGGTGGGGAATTGTTTTTAGGGGGGCAGGCGTCCTTTAGTTATATGTTGACGTGTATATTAACGTGATGATGATCATGGAATAACTTTTTGGGACTGGTAAAGGCAGTCGGACTGAGACGAATCGTGTTCATGGCATGTTTAGTTAATTTGGTATCATGAAGTTGAACATAATGGGGATCCTTGGCGCAATGGTAGCGCGTCTGACTCCAGATCAGAAGGTTGCGTGTTCGATTCACGTAGGGTTCAATGGTAGCGCGTCTGACTCCAGATCAGAAGGTTGCGTGTTCGATTCACGTAGGGTTCAATGGTAGCGCGTCTGACTCCAGATCAGAAGGTTGCGTGTTCGATTCACGTAGGGTTCATTCTTTTTGTCTTCATAACTTTCAATGGGCAATGAGTATAAGCGGCTGCAGAAGCAGGGGGTAATGGGTCGATATCCTTCTGCGCCCACAACTTGTTAAGAAATAAGAACTAGCCAAACCCACTGCTCGCTCCTACTTCCCACGGCTAACTAGTATGTGATTAGGGTTCCAATTCATAGTAATTTAGTAACTAATTACTTTCTTCTATACAATTTTACATATAAATACAGGTGTGATATAATTGTTCACATAGCAAACATCATATGGGGATAACATCAAATAGGGATAACATACCTTTAGCCCATATATTATTTGCATAAATATTTCAAGAAAATGATCTTATGAAGCATTTTGGAAACTCATATTTCAAGTTCCACAAATATGGGTTTTCCTTCACAATTCATAAGCGGGATCAGGATGTGTGGGGTATGCTCTCAGGAGGAGGTTGGTAGGGTATCTTTCAGCTAGTAAGGGTTTTAGGGAAAAAATCCCACGGTACACACGTTCTTAAAAAAAATTCTCAAAATACATAAGTTATAAAAAAAATTCCCAAAGTACACATGTTTGGCATTCACCGTTTTTGACAAACGCAGTGAAGGTAATCACCGCGTTTGACAAAGACGGTGAATATTTCACCGTTTAAAACTAAAACGGTGACGTATTCACCGCTTTGATCTAAAACGGTGATGAATTCACCGCGTTTGTCAACAACGGTGAATACATCACCGTTTTAGTTAAAAACGGTGAATACATTCACCGTGGTTGCCTAAAGCGGTGATTGTTTCCCACGTTTCCCACCCCTGGTAGGTCAAAATTAGGTCACACCTACCTAGTATTCACCGTTTGAGACAAACGCGGTGATGGTGTTCACCGTGTTTGACAAAAACGGTGAATAGTAGCAAATTTTCCTATAAATACCAACCCACCAGCAGAAGCAAAAACTTACCACTCCCCCCTTCTTCAAATTTCAGCAAATAAATCGAGCATAATACACAGAACAGACATTTTTTGGTATGTCTCTTTTCGTATTATAGTCTAATTATGTTTTTAGTAGTTATAGTATGATTAAATTTTCGTATTATGTTGTTGTTAGTTAGTTGAATTTATGTTCGTTAGTTATAGTATGATTTAATTTTCGTATTATGTTGTTGTTAGTTAGTTGAATTTATGTTCGTTAGTTATGAGATGGATAATATTAGTTGTACAATATGATTTTGGTTAATTTTACTGTCTTTAAGCTAATAGATACTTATCCTCGATTTGTAGATATGGGTAAATTCAAGAAGTTTCATCTTACTATTCGGTGGAATGGAAGGGTGACAAACTCTGACATAGGCATTGATTATGAGGACAGCGAATCCATTATGCTGAAAATTGATTCCCGATTCAATTTTCAAGAACTCTGTGATCTTTGTGCAGAAAGGGTTTGTACGAGCGGACAGACGAGACTTGGCAAAATTACTTACCGGTATCCAGACATGAGTGCTGGCGGGCTCGTGTTCCAAGAAGTTGTCATAAACGATGATGACGCGGTTACGATGATGTTACAGTTCCTAAGCGATAACCAAGTCCGGCTTGCAGAGGTGTATGTTGAGACCGAGGCGGTCGGTGAATCTCATTCTCACCAGTATTCTTATGATGATGGTTTTGCAGGAGGGTACGAATGGGGTGGTAGTTCGAGCAACTACCAAGGCGGTGGTTATACAGGAGGTTACGGGGAGGGTGGTGGTTCAATCAACTACGGTGGATCGAGTAGTGCAGGATGGGACAAATACTCGCAACCTCCTCAACCAGCCGATGGTGTTGAATGGCCTGCTTGGGGGCCAGAGTGGTCTGAAATCGAGAATAACATTCGATCAGGGCGTACTAATTAGATCCTAAATTTTTATTCAGGTTGACGGAACTTTCCTTACTGGGAAGTACAGAGGATGTCTTCTAATTGCAACTGGCGTTGATGGAAACAGGCGGATTTTCCCGCTTGCATTTGCATTAGTGGAAGGGGAGAACAGCTTAAGTTGGGCATGGTTCTTTGACCAACTACACGAACACGTGACACAGCGGGAAGATATTACGATTATATCCGATCGACATGCGGGGATTAGGAATGCTGTTGGTGGTTTTCCCGACGAGTGGGGATGGAGATGGAGATGGTGTATTCGACACTGGCTCGCCAATTTCCAGCACAAATTTGGGAAGAAGAAAGACATCAAAAATCAACTTTGGAATGCAGGTACTAATGTTTTTCTTATGCGATTTAAGTTTGTGTTTATTAAGCTGATGTTATTCATCGGTAGATGCTCCCATACCCACAGTTGCAGGATGAACATCGCAGCACCAGCTTGCTTTGCCCCAACCTTCAAGCAAGTACACAGCTCCCGGTATACGCCCGCTAGCACAGCCGATCCCCAACTCTTCTCTCCAATTGCATCCCAGTCACCAGTGAGCAATGGCAACCATATGCCTTGAATCCACCGGTTGGACTTGTCGGGGAACAAAAATCCACCCACCAAACCGATGAGGTAGATGCGGGCGTAGCGCTCGACTTGTTCTTCCGGTGTCTCGTCATTGATTTCCACCTCTTGCTGGATGTGAGATACCAGCCACGGGACCGACACTTGCCCCGCATTCAACGGTGGATGCCCCCGTCCTTGAATTGGTGTGGTGGTCGGCATGTCGAAGCCCAAACGATCACGTATGAGCGGCCCCCAACCTCCTTCGGGTTTGGTCGTGGAACCAATGATTGCATCTCCAGAAATAGGAAGCCCGGTGAGGATCGCCACGTCTTTGAGGGTGATCGTCATTTCCCCCTCCGGAAGGTGGAATGTATGGGTTTCGGGACGCCATCGTTCCGCCATTGCCGTAAGCAGATCGTTGTCGATCTCGATCCGCAAGAAATGGAGCAACATTCCCAAACCGGTCCTCGCTATGTAGGGCTCCAACCTTGGATGCCAAGCGGGCAAGTTATTGGTCCCTTTATGAACCACGGGAACAAGCGATTCCTAAAACAAATAGGAAAAATAACAATTTATTAGATTAAATAAAGCAAAATAAAACCTTAGAAAATAATAAAATAAAGCAAGAATACTCAAAAAATTACCGGATAGTTATCCCAAATAGCACGGGAGCGATGAGCTTCTTGATCGGTTAAGAGACTCGCATCCCTTGGGCCATAATGGATATACAATCGAGGATCGTATATCTCGGCACCCATCTATAAAAAAGTAATGAAATCAGAGATTGTTTTGATAAAAAAACAAAAAATCAAATTGTTTCGATTAAAAAAATTCATAAACCAAAAACCTACACGAAGAGCCTCTTCGTCCATTTTTTGGCGTAGGCCGGACAGAGGTTCGACGATTTTAGGTTTGTAAGGGACGGGGGCTTTAGGGTCAAACTCTAGTAATTCTTTCTGATGTGGAAGATCGGACTTAGCCGCAACCACAGAGCATACTTAGAACGAGACTAGAGCGGATAAATTGAGGGAGAAAGAAGTGAAATGTTTGTGGGGTGAGTTGAAAGTGAAAGGGGAAGGGGGTATTTATAGTTGGGGGAAGGGGGGAGGCGCCTGCGCAGCATTCAATTGGAGCGCCTTCACCGCGTTAGTCAAACGCGGTGAACTCACCGCTGTCAACAAACGCGGTGTATGTCTAGGGGACGTGGCGTGTTGTGAGGCGTCGGATCGTGGGAAGAAAACCACGATCCGCGCCTCACCGCATCCAATGGCCACGGTGAAAGCAAATTGGCCCGGATCGCTGACGTAAACAAACACGGGGTATTCACAGTGTTTGTCTAACGCGGTGAATACCCCGCGTTTGTCCACGTCAGCTCCTTCACCGCGTTTAATAAAAACGGTGAAGTCTTCACCGTTTCAGTTTAAAACGGTGAAGCCTTCACCGTTTTTATTAAACGCGGTGAAGGCATCACCGTTTTTATTTAAAACGGTGAAATGTTCACCGTTTTTATCAAACGCGGTGATTACCTTCACTGCGTTTGTCAAAAACGGTGAATGCCAAACATGTGTACTTTGGGAATTTTTTTTATAACTTATGTATTTTGGGAATTTTTTTTAAGAACGTGTGTACAGTGGGATTTTTTCCGGGTTTTAGTCTTTTAGACACGGTTGCTTCTTTTCCCCCTACTTGTTTGCTATTGTTATGGAGATTTTCTCATTTCTTAATAATAAGGCAGCTGCAATAGGTTAATTTCCATACCCTTCGATGTATTAGTGTTTACAGATGCTTCAAACTACGAAATTTCAAAGTTTGAACAGAACTTTGGAAAAGTTTTAGTCTTTTCTAATTTGAGGTCGAACCCTATTAAATGCGGATTATTTTTTGGTGAGTGTCTAAATCTAAGTATAGGATTAAAGTAGAGAGAAATGGTTGCCGGGTCAGGTAAATTTCCTGTTAAATACTTGAGAGTTCCTTTGTCTTCTGGTAAACTATAAGGGGTCGTTTGGATCTAGGTTTCTAGTGAGTGATTTGTGAGGGATTTTAAAACAATACCTCGTTATGCAGGATTTTAATACAATTATGCGTTTGGAAAGATGAGAGATTGTTAGGATTAGAGATTTCAAAATCTCTCA